TTGATTTTATTTGTCCTTCTGTCTCCTTCCTTTCCCTTTTCTCCTTCCTTTTGCCCTCTTTCTTCCCTCCTTCCCTTCTTACATGATTTAATTTTGGGGAGTACTTGGGGGTGTCTTCCTATCGTGTGGCTGAGTCCAGTGTCACAGTTTGTAGCTGTCCATTGTGTTTCAGTGACAGCCAGCAGCATGACCTTCCTAGCACAAAAGCCTCTACCATTAGCTTTCTATATTTTGAAGCTTTGTCATTCTTTCACTTGATTCTTTCAAGAATTCTGCACCTTATTACTCTGTGTAAATGAAAAAACTTTTCGTCTCCACCACAACCTGTTAATCATGGCAACGGTGGCTTCCCTGCACAGCCTGCTCGGAGCCCCACTCTGAACATCAGCTAGAAGACAGCGGAGGCCGCCTGGCCACAGGTCAGGGGGTCTAACCCTGGCCTCACATTTAAAATAACCCATTCCATATTCTTTGTGTTTTTGAGGCAGGGTCTTGCCATGTAGTTCAGGCTGACCTTGAGCTCACTTTGTAGCCCAGGCTGGTCTCAAACTTGTAATGATCCTCCTGCCTCAGCCTCTGAGTGCTGGGGTTACAGCAGTGAGCCACCATACCTGGCTACCCATTACATTTTCAAAAATGTGTTCATCACTAAAATAGAACTCTGTGCTTAATTTTTTACTATTTTAGGTTGCTGGTCTCACTTTGGATGTTCTGTTCCATGCCTTTCTCAGTAATTAGAATTTTAATCTCACTTAAATGACTGTGACATGTAATCTCAGAGCCTGCTGATTTGGCCTCAAGATTCTTCTAGATCCTTCTAAATCATCCACAGGGAGAGCTCTACACTTTTCTCAGGCCTTAAGCGAGGACCTGTTACCTACCGGAGACAGATGTGCTGTGACTGACGGGCTATTTTGCTTGAAGTGCACTGCCTCCAGGTTACCCAGAATTCTCAGACAAGAATGAAAGGATTAGGCACATTGTTAGGCTCCCAGGGATACAGGAGAAATGGAACTCCCAGCCTGTTCGACATCAAAGGTGCTGAGTTTGTGGTTCCTCAACATTGAAGAATGAAGTTACAAACCTGAGGAAGTTTATTGGAAATAAAGTGAGAAGAATAGCTTCTGGATTTCCAGGAGGGGATACCCAAGGCTGCTAGCCAGAGGCTCTTTGTCAAGAGTAATTTATAGCAAACCCGGGGGGGGGGGACTTCCTTCTACCATCTCTTTGAAGCAAATATTGTCATCACTGTTTTGCTTTGTTCTGATTAATTGTTTTTGCTCTATTCACTATCTGCTTTGATAAGTACTATAATGTTCTGTGTTTGGTTTGATTTTGCTATACCTGATGGAAAGAACAACTATTTTGAAGATAATGAGATATACTATGGCACCTATTACTGTTATCCTGATAATCTGCTGTGAAGTTCTGTATCAACTTTACTGCACTGTCTCAGTTGGCTGTGTTCTGTCTTGTTCTGTTGTATTTCACTACCTTCAAAATAAAGAGTAATTCATACAGCAAAGTCAGAGCAGAGATACAATGTGGGTCAAGTACAATCAACCTATAGGCTTCCAATACTGCCTAGCTAGCATTGATCCGATAGGGAAATGAGGCATGTAGCAGCGCCAAGAAAACCCTCTAGGGCAACAGGAAAACCAAAAAGTCAACTGTGCCTACAGAAAAGGACGGGAAAGCAAAGCGCACATGCCATTTGTGTAACCAATACTTGTGTATGGGACACGGTGTGATCATGTGTGAAGATGGCCTTGAGTGTGACCCTTGAAGAAAGATTATTTCTGTGGTAGAATTTTACTTGTATTTACCTTGAGGTTCACAAAAGTCTTATTTCTGATGTTCTTGTAGGTCTTGTAAACAGGTAAAGAGCTGATGTGAAGATGTTTACGCCTGTTCTCAGTGCCCACTATATATTTGCTCTTGTATTTCATTGTGGTCTTATTTTCCTGCTATATGCACATTGCACAAAATAGTAGGAAGCACCTGACAAATCAGGAAGACGAGGTGCCAAGACTGGCCTGCCACATAGGAGAGCAAAGCTAAGCACAGGCGCTGTCGGTGTGAGACGTGTGCACGGGACATGCAGCTGTCATGAGTGACGGCTGCAACTGCTTTCACAGGCCACTTCTGCCTATCAGCCTCGTAAAACTGTGGGAAATGACTTTTCCATATAAAACAGGACGGGGGAATGTAGAGGCTATTGTAATGCAGAGAACACTGTAAAACGTGTATTTCTAAGACTAAGCACATTTCTAACCCTGCTCAAAGCTGAGCCCGGGAGACACAGCCTGCTCCTGTGGTTAGACAGCTGCAGACCTGACAGGCTTTAACATTGTGATGCCAACTGCAAGGTGAGTGTGGCTCAGCCAGGAGGGAATGTTTCCCTGGCTTCCCAGAGGTCCAGAGTTATCACTGCAAGGATGCCTCTGCCAGTCTCAGCCAGCCATGGCTTCTCCCTGTGTGTTGTAGGATGGTAACCTCATTTAGGTGCTCCTCCTGTAAGAGTGAGTTCTGCCCAGCAAGATATTATGTTGCCTGCCTTTTGTACTTAATTTTGCAAAAGCATATATAAATGATTGGAAAACTCCAATCACTGCTTATGATTTGAAACTGAGGTTCCTGTCAGCCAGCTAGCATAGGAAAGCTGCCTTCTAAGTCCCTCTGATGCCTTGTCTCCATTTGGCCTGGTCCTGAATTCTACATCAATATCAATTTCTTCAAAAGGCTGATAAGTTGTTGGCAAATATTAGCAAGTGTTAGATGCAGTATATTTAATTTCCTATCATTACTGTGAGAAATGACACCCACAAGTGTGTTTAGAGAAGGTCTCTTTGAAACAAAAGCTTCATGAAAGTGATAAACAGCCTTAGTTTTAAAAAAAATGAGCAGCACAGCCCCTCATTCCTTGTACTCTTTGCTACTAAGAAATTAAGCCAACATCTAGAAAAATATAATGCAAGAAAAAGATTCAAGTTAAAAATACATTTATTTGGTTAAAATCATCCCCTTTATAGTATGTATTTATTTATAATCTAAGCTCACAGCATGTTCCAACAGCGTAAGGTAATCTAAATTTCATTACACTTGGGATGTTACATTGGGTTTTTCAGTTGTGTTGATGGGGGCCATTGCATGGCAGCAACATCAGCTCTGTTAACAATTCTCTTAGGAACCTTGCTGGGCACACACCTTCAACCCCAGCACTGGGGAAGTTGAGGCAGGACAAATCCTTGCAAGTTCAATACAACTCCAAACTGGGCTCAAAGTGAGCTCAAGGCTAGCCTGAACTGTATACCGAGACCCTGTCTCAGACAAAACAATTCTCCTAGGAGAGTTTTAGTTTAGAAGCCTCTGGTACATATTTTCTTCAGATACCACATAGCCAAACTTTTTATAAAAACCAAATTTTGCAGTAGACATTCAAGAGTAATCTTTTTAAAAGGTTTATTTTAAAGAGAGTGAAGCCAAACAAAACAAAGACAAAACAAAACAGTGAAAGTGATACTGGATTTCAAAACAGGATAATAGGAAATTAAACAATGGTTACCATAAAGCCTTGCTATCCCCCAAATTGCTGTCCATACCATCAGACAGAAAAAAAAAAAAAAAACAGAACACTGAAGAAAACAAAACAATAAAATGGAATGAAACAAAACAGAGTTTTGGATTTTAAAAACAACACAGAAGGAAATCCCCCATAGTTGCTATATTGCATATTGTTATCCTCTAAATAGATACTCAGACTACTGGCCCCAGGCCTGCAAAGTCAAACAATAGAAAAATGAAGTTGTTTTTCTCCCTCAGCAGGTTGCTTGAGCTAAACCCTCAATCCTTCAAGAGTTATACATGTTCAGTTTCTTGCTTAACAAAGTGTCATGGTTTATGTCAGTTGCCCCCAAGCCTCATGTAATTATGTGTGACTCATTATCTAGTGCTCGGATTGGTGGTGTGAGTGCTACACCCTCCTAGGGGTGGAGTCAGGATGTGACGTAATGTCGGGAAGAAGGCGTGTTTCTCGCGGTTTCTGCCTTGCTGTTTGCAGCCACCACAAACTGCATATGCAGTGCTAGGGATGCAGCCCAGGGCCCCACACATCAAGCCTCACACCTGCCTTGTCAGATTTTGATGTGGTGATTCTTTTTGGTGTGACGACTTCCACAGTACCAAGACTGACAACCTGGAAAGGAAAAAAAAAAACCCCACAAACATGGGGCAGGGCAGGAAGCCAAGGTCCTCTGTAGAGGCCAGGCAGCAGCTCCAACACAGTGCCTCCCCCTCCAGACACCCGCAGGGCAGGGATTATGGAAATTGTTCTTCAGCACAGGACAGGGACTGGGCTGTGGACACTTTTTTGCCCCTAAGTGCATGCAGGAGGGACTCTGGCCTCCTGGACTGGGAAAAGACTTCAGCTGGGCAGGGCAAGCCAACACCCCAGCATCAATAACCATGTCTGACCAGCATGCTCTTCTCTTTTTCTAGTGTGCCCAGTTCTGGGTTCAGTTCTCCAACTTTAGTCCTTGTCTTGGAAGTGGAAGGTGGTTTACAGGGTGTTTAGGACAGCCTAAGAAAACACTGCAGCACACAAGTGGTCAGTGAGTGTTCCTTATGGCTGAGCTCCTGGAGTCTTGGTCTTTTTCTTTTCTTTTCTTTTCTTTTTTTTTTTGAGACACAGTTTCATTGTTCTGCTCAGGGTGGCTTTGAACTCACTTTATTCTCCAAACTGGCCTTGAACTTGCAAGGATCCTCCTACCTCATGCTTAGTAGTTCTGGAATTACAAGCATTTGCCACCATGCCTGGCCTGCCCTATTTTTGAACGTATGCATTCATTGACTTGAGTGATCTATCTGTGCCTGACCCTGCCCATTCCGATGTTTGGTACTTGGAAAGACCGCAGGGCCTTTGCACCCGGGCGTGGCAGCCGCAGCCCTTTTTGTACCTGTGAACCAGCGCGCCGGAAGTGACGCACTTTCGCCCCGCCCCTGGCTCCGCCCCCGCGGCATCTGTGGAGACCCGGGCTGAGGTACGAGGAGAGCGGGAAGGACCGCGGTGGAGAAGGGGACCCGCCGCTCGCCGAAGGAGAGGGTGAGCGGGCCCCGGGGAGCGACGGCCGGTCCGCGGGGCGCGGGGCCCGCCCTGCGCCCTCTTCCCGCCCGCCCGGCCTCGCGGCGCCGGGCCGCGTTCGCCTCGAGCCCGCGAGCCCGTGGGGAGCAGCGCGGCCGCGCTCGGAGCGCTCCGGGGCGGCGGGGCGGTTCGCGTTAGCGCGCGGGCCCCGGGTGCGGTCCGGGAAGGGGAGGCCTGGACTCTTCCGAGCTCTTTCTAAAGAGGACGGACAATTTTATTTCAATTTATTTTATTTTCTGAATTTTTTTCCAAGTCTTTTTTTTTCCCCGTCTTTTTGAGGCAGGGTCTCGCTGTGCGGTTCGGGCTGGCCTTGAGCTCCCTTTGTAGCCCAGGCTGGTCTCGAACTTGCACCAATCCTCCTGCCTCAGCCTTCCGAGCGCTGGGATGACGCGCGGGCACCCCCACGCCCGGTTCCATTTTATTTCAAGAGGAAAAAGAAAACACAATTGTTTTAAAAAAAAAAAAAAAAAAAAAGGACGGGGAGCCTCCCGGCCTCCCTGATGGGGGGGGGGGGAGGGACTCGCATGGGATTAAATACCCGCAGCACCCACTAAAACAGGACGGTGACCCACAGTCAGGTGTTCATCCCGGTGTCCCTCGTGCCCAGACCCGCGGTGGGCGGCGCCGAGCAGGCTGGAGCGCTGCCTGCTGCAGGTGAACTGTCGTGTGGTTACCTGCACGGCCCCTAGCGCTTGGATGACTGTGCCGGACGCTTCCCTGAAGAGAGAGAGGGCTTGTGTGGCTTGGGACCTTGCTCACTGTCTTGATTAATTCTCGAAATAAATCTGGGTTCCCTGGCGGTCGGATTAGGGAAGCCCAAGGTTGCTGAGAGCATTTTCTCAGAGTCAGCTGTGTCGCATGACACAGCCTGACCCCGAAGGGGCATCGCTACATCCCACAGCCCTGGGAACTTCTGGGAGGTCAGGGTGACAGAAGCCATGAGTTCTTGGTGCACAGACGCCGCCGTGAGATTTGTTGATGTGGAAGGCACGGGAAGGACTCCGGGATTAACCGGCAGCAGGTGGAAGCCGCCTATGTCCGGCTCAGGAGTTGCAGCTGGCGCTCCTCTCCTCTCTGGTTCCCAGTCCGTCTGCCTGGAACGTGTCCACCTGGAACGTGGTGACAAAGCCTGCCCCATCAGGATATGCAGTGTTATGATTTAAGATTTACTGTTTATTTAGAACATTTTAAAAAATTCAACAGACCCGGGACTGGGGATATAGCTAAGTGCCTGCCTGGCAAGGATAAGGCCCTGAGTTTAATTTCAGGTACCAAATTAAATAAGACAAACCCAAACACCGGGGAAGGCACAGCACATCCTGAGACAAGCAGGAAGTGGACACTGCTGAGCATGGCCATGCAGCCCCGGTGGGCACCTGTACCAGGCACTGTTACATGCCTGTGTTTTGCCTTTAGACCAGGAGAAGGGGGAATTGTCAACTAGCTTGAAAGGTTACATCCAAGTCTTTATATGTACTTAGGAGGGGTGTGTGTGTGTTTGTGTGTGTATGTGTGTAAAGGGTGGTTTTATTTCCAGCATGCTATTTAAATGGTCACACATATGAGAGCTGGGGTTATAAAGTCTTTCAGGTAGTTGGCCGGTGTGGAAGAGGGGAAAGGGAGAGGGAAGGGGGAGGGGAAAGATGCCTGCAGCCAGTTGCAGGGGTGGATGTCTGTCTCTGGAGAGTGTAGCCAGGTTTGTCCCGAAGGCTGCACAGTAGGTTCCGTCACATTATCTCCTCTGTGAGAGAACAGCCTTGTCCAGCAGCAGTTGTACCTGAGGCCGGTTTGTTAGAGTGTGTCAGCTGGTTTTGGAGTGAACTCTAAAACAGCCTGTTGATCCTGAACCTGTTGTTTTTGTGTTTTCAAGTAAATTTTCATTCTGTGGGTATCTTTAGGTAAATAATTGCCTTTTCTTACACTTGAAATGTTTTATGTCCTTCATGTTGATGATTAGGTCCGTTGTAGTCCTCTGTTACTGATCTAATTACAAAATAAAAATACCATATGACTTTATATTGAAACCTTTGCACGTCAATGGATTTTTTTTTTACTTTAGTTTCCCTTGGTGTGCAGAAGCTTTTTAATTTGATACATGGCAGTTTGATTCTTCATGAGATTTCTTGTGCAGTTGGCCTCCTGTTCAGAAAGTACTTGTCTATGCCTATGACTTCAAGAGTTTTACCCATTTTCAAGGAATTAATACATCTGCTTTAATATTTAGATCTTTGATTCACTTTTATTTTAGTGCATGATGAGAGATGAGAGAGATACGGGTTTAGCTTCAGTCTTCTCCCTGTGTATGGCCAATATTCCCAGCTCCACTTATTAAAGAAACTGTCTTTCTTCCAGCATGTTTTTGGCCCATTTGTCAAAGATTGGGTAGCCTAATGTGTCTCATTTTTCCCCAAATCCTCTGTTCTGTCCCGTTGATCCACTTGCCTGTTTTTGTGACAGTACCATGCTGTTTTTATCACAATAGTTTTATAATATAATTTGAAATCCAGGATTGTGATTGCTCCTGCTTTCCTCTCATTGTCCAGAAGTGCTTTTTCCATTCTGGGTATCTTCTGGTTCTATATAAATTTTAGGATTTTTTTCCCGGGTTCTGTGAGGAATGTTGTTTGTATTTTCATTGGGGTTGTGTTCAATCCTTATATCATTTTGGTAGTATGTCCATTTTGACTATATTGGTTCTGCCTGTTCAGAAACAAGGGATGTGTTTCTACTTTCTAGTGTCATCTTTGATTATGTTTTTTCAGAATTTTGTAGTTTTCATGTTAGAGGTTTTTCACTTTCTTGTTTAATTCCTAAGTACTTGGTTTTTCCAGTGACTATTTCAAATGATACTGTTTTCCTAACTTCTTTCTCACTGGATTCATTATTGGTATATGGGAATCCTACTGGTTTTTGTGTATTCGTTTTGCATTGTGCTACATTGCTGAATTTGAGTATTAGTTCTAAGGCATCTTCTGGGGGGAATTTCTTGGGTTTTCTATGTAAAGGATCATGTCATCTGTGAATAACAATAATTTGACTTTTTCCTTTCCTATATCCCCTTTATTTTTTGTTTGATTGCTCAGGCTAAAGTCCTGCCTCAGGCTAAAGATTTTTGTTTTTTTGTTTTCTGTTTTTAAAGAGGGGAAGAAAAACAACAACAAAAAACCACAAGAAAGACAAGAAGTAAAAAAGATAAATGCTTTCATAATGTTTTAAGTAATATATTGAATAGCAAGGGTGATCATGAACATTCCTTTTCTTAATTTTATAAGAAAGGCTTTCAGGTACACACACACACACACACACACACACACACACACACACACTTAATATGGTATTGGTAGGTTTGTCATCAGTGGCTTTAACCAGAATGAGATAAAGTCCTTCTGTACCTGTTTTCTTCCAGTTTTTTATCAAGAGTGGGTGTTGGATTTTGTGGTTCTTTTTATGTATCTACTAAGATGATCGTATGATTTTTGTGTTTCCTTCTGCATATGTGATGTATTGATTTTTGTATCTTGAACTGTCCTTGCATCCGTGGGATGAAACTACTTTGTCATGATGGATGATCTTTTTGCTGATTTGTTATTCTGTCATCATCCTGTTGAGAAGTTTTGCAACTGTGTTCTTTGACACATTCATGATGGAGCCATAACTCCTATGTCTTGCTGCCATGTGGTTTGTTGTACCAGTGGAACATGTGTGAGTGTCCCATGAATGACTGTACCACTTATATACCTCCAGTGGTACCAGTTTTCTGATGGGACAGTCATCCATGTACCATTGGTGGATCAAGCCTGCAGAAATGTGTTAAAGAGATTGACCTGTAGTCTTTTTCAGCTAGGTTTTTGTCTGGTTTGGGAATTTAAGGAAATAATTGCTTCTAGAAATGTTTGGAAGTAGTCCTTCCCTTTTATTTCATTGAGGAGTTTGATTCATATTGGCATTAGGTCTTTCCTTAAGTTCTTAGGCAACTTAGTGGTGAATGAATGTATTGAGCCATGGGCTTTTCTTAGTTTGTAGGTTTTTTATTCCTTGATTTTGTTGCATCTTATAGGGCTGTACTGAACTTTTGTTTTGTTTTGTTGGTACCAGGGATCAAACTCAGGACCTTGCACTTGTCAGGCAGGCACTTTACTGCTAAGCTAAAATCTCCTGCCTAAGTTTTTGTTATTTTGATTCAGATTTTTTTTTTTCTTTTCTGCTTTGCTGTGTCAGGCTGGCCTTGAACTCACAGCTATCCTACTGCCTCAGCTTCCAAAGTACTGGAATTATAGGCATGCACCACCCTGCCCAGTGACTCAGTTTTGAAATTCATATGTGTGAAGGAATCTATCCATTTCTTTAGTATTTTCAAATGTGTTGGATTACAGGTTTTCAAAATAGCTACTAATCTGAATTTTGTTAGTTCATTTTGATTTCACCTTTTTCATTTCTAATTGCTTTGATATGGGTTTTTCCCTTCCTTCCTTTGGTAAATTTGATTGGATTTCTGCTCTCATCTTTATAATCCTCCCTTATATTAGCTTTAGATTTGGATTGTTCTTCTTTTGCCTAGAATCTTCATTTGGTTATTTATTTGGGCTTGCTATGTTTTTCTTTTTTTAATTTTATTTAAAAGGAAAAAGAAAAAACAAAACAAAACAGTGTAAGGGTACAAGTAATACAGAACTACAAAAAAAAAAAACAATAAGAAATCACCAGTTAATAGATTACACATTATCATCTTAGAGATAGTTGCTCAAGTCACAGAATCAAAGCATACAAAGTAGACATTCAAACAGTGAGACTGCAAACAGTTGTGTTCAATGATCCAACCAAAAACATTAATATGGTCATCTATCTTAACACACCTAAACACACTTGCAGTTGTATCCTTTAGAGCTCTTTTTTTTCCTCTCTTTTTACATCAAAATTTACACATTTTGGGTTTTATTACCCCCATAGTTCTTATTGCTGTT